TTAATATAAAACTTAATTAACTAATTTGAGTGGACTAAAAATGTAGTTAATTAGTTAATATGATATATTTTTTCTGAAATACTCTAAGTATTTTTCTTGATTCTCTCACTCCCTTACTTACTTACTTATTATTGAGAAAATATTAGCAGAGTTAATTTTTAAAAAAATTATAAATACTCTTTTAGTCCTTAATATAAGACCTAATTAACTAATGTGAGTAGACTGAAAATGTTATAACTAAATTAGTTAATATGATATGTTATTTCTAAAACACCCTGACAATCTTTTTTAAGGAAAAAATTGATTAGCATATGAAATAAATCTTATACTGCCTCCGGTCCTAATTATAAGAGCCAATTGACTAATTTGAGGAGATTAAGAAAGTAAGTTGAGTTAGTTATTTGTCCTAAATAGGTGTTGTCTTTCCTAAAATATCCTTGCTAATCAAGTGTATTGACTAGAACTATCATTGTTAGAATGACTACTTTAGAAAAAAATGTATAAATATGAGAGATAAAATGGATTGGGGTCTTATATTTAGAACCAAAATAAAAGTTAAACAGGATCTTATATTAAGGACCGGAGGTAGTATATAAAAGTAGATCATACATTAAGTGAATTACTAGAGAAGTATGTGAAATATGAGGAGTAACTTGAATGAAGACAATGAAAGCTCAAATTGATGCCTCCAATTGTAATCACTTCCCAAAAAAAAAAAAAAGATTATTCTTTGATTGGAAGATGATGCTACTGAGCTTCACTATTGTGAGTGTATTAAATTAATGTCTTTAGCGCGCAGAAGGCAGCAATTAGAATGCCTACAAACTAATAACGGTTACATTGAATAGAAGAACCTACCATCCCTTAAAAACAAACTTGAGATGAGTTTAAACTGACCTAGCATCCCTTATAATTAGGGTCAGAGGTAACACCATAAACGTTGAGAAATTTATTCTTATCATTTATCATCCTGCTTGAATCTAAATTATTTAATAATACTATATGCCGCCAATAGCTATAAAAAAATTATTAATAGTGACGTGAAACAAAACAAATCCTCATCTAGATTGTGGGGTATCCTTCGTAAGACATCTTCAGTAAAATTACGTAGTTCATTGTTCCCAGCACAAACAGTCACGGGCATGCAACTATGCGTGTATGTACGTATGCATATGTATAAATTCTAAAATATTTTTTTATATAAAAAAAAGTTTAGATAAGTTGTGATAGGAACACTGGTCAGAACATATTTTCAGGCTCAGAAAGTAATTACAAATCACACAGTCATACACCTACAAGTTCTTCATATCGGCAGTAGAATCAAAACTCACAACTTTAAAGATTATGAGCTAATTACTTACTGAATAAATTCTTACTAATATTTTAAAATCTTAAAATCTATATATATATAAGATAGAAAAATTAATGTTTTTCTTAGGCCTGAAAACATAAAAAGGGAAAAAAAGAAAACTGAGTAAGGTCTGACGAATCCAGAGTGGATGGGAGAAATAACAGTATTTGTGGTTCCAAGGCGAGCCTGCACTGCATCACAGACACAACTGCTCATGATTCATTGCCAGCTTCCTTACTTCACTCACTCATTCACTCATTCATTGTCCCTTTTTCAAAATTCAAACTCATTCTCCCTATGCTGCCCTTTTTGCTTTCACCATTCTCTTTTATTGCACCCAACCAATGTCATATGCTACCCTGGCTGTAATTAATATAAATTAACTAATTTAAATAGATTAAAAAAATTAATTAAAGTTAGTTATTTGTAATAAATGTATATTATTTTCTTTAAAGTACTCTTATTAATCATGTGTATTGGCTTGAACTATTATTTGATAAAACATTTAATATGTGCAACTATTATAATGATCATCTTAGGAAAAAAATAAATAAATATAAGAGACAAAGTGAATTATGGTCTTATATTTAAAACTAAATTAAGTGTCAAATTAGCTCTTATACTAAATATCAAAAGTAGTATTTGGAAGAGGATTTAGGATGCATATACCTTTTTTTTTTTTAATTACGTCTAGCATTATAAAGTATTTAGTGATTTATTTAATACCTTGAAGAATTTTTCAAAGTACATTTAGCACTATAAATATCCTAATTAGAATGTTAGATACAATTGAAAAAAATAGTTTAGACAGGTGCTCCATGAGACACTAAATACTTTAAGATGTTAGATGCATCTAAAAAAATATTTCAAAATGTTAGATCAACCTTAATTAACTCTTATATTTATATACAGATTAAGTTGTATACATCACAAGCGGTTTTTTTTTTTTTCCAATAGCATTCAATATCTTAAACTAGTTTTTTAGTACATTTGGTACTTCCTAAAGTAAGTTTTGGTACAATTTTATCCTTAAAATATTTTTTTAGTATAATAAACATGCTAAATTTAAGATAGTGAGTGCTACTAGAAGAATGATTGAGGGTGCTAAATATATCAAAAATTACTTTAGAATACTAAGTATTACTGAAAAAATACTTTAAAATGATGGATGTATAAAAAAAAATTATTTAGAACACTAGTGTGTGTATTACCTTCAATTTTTTTTTTCACAAAACATTGCGTAGAACGCGCAAAAACTAGCGAATTAATAATTGTCTAAGACTGTTTCGCCAAAAAGAAAAATTGTCTAAAAGACTAAAGTCTTAAAGAAAATGGCTTTACAATATTCATCAGTTTCATCATTCATTTGATAACTTTTGACAAGCTAAAGAACCAGCACCATGGTCATATATCATACACACACTTGAATTTCAAACCCCTCTTTTCTCTTTCTCATTATTGTTGCTTCATCCTTCCTTCTTTCTTCATTATCAACATGGGGTCCTCTCTTCTCTCTCTCTCTTTCTTTCTCTCTGCACTTTACTGCCTTTTCTTCCTCTCTTTTTTTCTCCCCTTACTACGTGACAAACTTTCCATCTCAACCCCATCTCTCTTTTATCTTGTTGCAGCAAGCAAACTTGTATATTACTCACAGATTAAAGCTACTGATCTTGTTTCTGTTCTTCATGATTCTGCTTCTGCTCTATTCTTACTTACTGCTATCAAACAAAGATCCGATCTTTATCACTTTTTCTTTTTCCCCTTCGTCCACTTTTCAAAAGCTGAGAGCATGAAGCATTGTAAAGCTCTCTGCTGCTATATTAATTTGTTATCGCTTATATATCATACCACTATTGTCTACCTCACCTTTTCTCTTTTAACTCTTCAGTCCACACATGTAAATTATAGTGTAAAGGGGTAAAAGGTGAGTCCTTTATTATGCGCATACTTGTCTTAATTCATTTGACTTTTGATCTTATTTTTTTCAAAGAAACTTCATTAATACGGAAGTACTGTGTTGGAAAATCCAACAGTTCAGTTCATGCATGGTTAGCTCTTTGACATTTCATTTTTTAATCAAAACTGAATACATAGCTCATAGGAGAGAGAAAACTACAAGACTATTATACATAGGAGTTAACTTCCTTCGTCCCTTTCCATCTCAACTAGAAAGATGATGGAGCGCGATCAAAAATACAATAATTTCCTTCAAAATTATAAGACATCTTAGTAAGTTGTCAGCTCTAAGGGTATAATTCAAAACAACCTGCAAATCTCTATAAAAATAAGAGAGAATTACAATGAGATCCCAGCAAGGAAACAGTTAAAAAACAAGTCCCAGAGGTTATCATTTTCACTATAAGACTTGTCATTATAGGACTGTTAAGGTTGTTATTGGGACTTTTTAGTAATTATTTCTCTTCTGTGGAACTTGGCTGTAATTCCCCTAAAAATAACCCCTAACTCCATCCAGTGTGCTGAGCCATAATTCCCATTCGACTAGTTAATAACCTCAATACAATCAGAAAAAACAAAAACCTGCCTATAAATTTTAGACCAACATAAGCAAAGTCCATGGATAAAGCCCAGTAAATTCTGCAATGGCAGGAAAAAAATATGATTTTTTTAAAATTGTGAGATAGATATACACCTTAATTAGTTAGTATTAAATTTTATAATTTTTCAAAAAAATATGAATTTTATAGATATGCGCATGCAATATATCATCCTTTAAAAGCACATGCATTTTGTTGCAGAATATACTTAATTATTTAATTAATAATTAACGGGTTATAAATAAAGCCTTAAAAAAATTAAATGTTACAGGCTAGATATATTTAAGATCAAATAATTATATATCCCTATGTTATATATTTATGTCAATTTTAAAAAAAATCTACTATTTATAAATTATGAAATATAGTGCTAGTAATATTAATTAATATGCATAATATATGGACCTTAGAAGGTAATTAGGAAAATTACCTCTTATAATATACAGTTTAATCTGTTATATTAAATATGATTGAAAAAAATTCTTCCCCGAAAAAAATTAAAAAGAAACAAGACTTTCCTGCTTTGCAAAGTCAAAAAATATGATTGACACGGTAATTATGTCTTTGTTTGATAAAGTTGGAGTTATAAATTTCTCTTCTGACTTCGGAGTTTACTTTTTCGTCCTTTTCATCTCCGTATGGATGACACTTCCGCCACACACCACCCCATAAAGCAAAGCAACCATTTTCTTGAAGATTTCACTTATACTCCCCCACTCCCCGGGGCGGGGCTGCTTAATGTAAAACGTTAAAATATAAAACATTATGAAAATAATTAATATAATTTTTTTCACTTATACTCTTATTAAATATATGAGAGAAGTAAAAAATGATAAAAATATAATACTGAGAGCAATTTTATTATTTTTTATGGGTAAAATAAAAAAATCATTATTTTAAAACATATTTAATAACTAAATTTTTATTTTTTAATTAATATATGAGAAAAGTTAATTAACATTTTATATTTTAGATATAAGAAGTATACTCTTTTGTAATTAATTATTCGCCCAAAAATGTTAAATTTAAAAAGAAAATTATGTCCCCTCTTTCCTCTATAAAACCCCGCCTCTCCTTTCTTTCCCGCTTCGTCTCCAAAACCCAGTATCTCTCTCTCTCTCTCTCTCCCTCTGAGCTCTCCATGGCTTCCAACACCACCATCCAAGCACTGCCTTACGGATCCGACCCGACTACCCCCAACACCACCTTCGTCCAAGCCGACCCATCCAATTTCCGGGCTGTCGTTCAGAAACTCACCGGAGCACCTGAAGATCCATCAACCCCGAAGCTCCCCCTCACTCTTCCTTCTCGACTTACGGCGCAACACAAGCCAACCACCACCGGCGCCGCCGAGATAGGGCCGAAACGGCCCGCCTTCAAGCTCCATGAGCGACGGCACACGGCCAAGAAGCTGGAGCTGAACGTCGGCGTTGCGGAAAGACTACCCATATTCTTCAATGGTGGGAACAGAGGAGTGATGATGAGTTCGCCGGTGTCGGCGTTTGAGCTGATGGCGCGTGGAAGCCCACGCACGCCGAAGGAAGAAGAAGAGAAGGCGATCGCCGAGAAAGGCTTTTACTTGCACCCAAGTCCACTGAACACACCACGAGGCTCTGAGCCTCCTGAGCTATTGCCGCTGTTTCCATTGCATTCTCCAAGAGAGAACGAAGCTAAGTCTTAGCTTCTTGACGAAGTGTCATTATGTTATGTTATATTATGTAATTTTTTTAATTTTTAATTTTTAATTTTTAATTACCAATTTAATCTTACTCAACTATTAGCCTTGCTTTGTTCTTTTCTTCTTTCGCTTGACATGTTTTGACCGTCGGATTACCTCTGCCCATTCTACGGCTGAGATTCGTCAGTGCTGTGGAGAGAATGTGTGGGACTTTTATTGAGAAACTTCGTATATAGATGCTATTATGAGACTAATCATTTTGTTTTTCTTTCTGCAATACTCTGTCCTAGTGGATGCTACTGTCTTTGGTAGCTAGTGACCTGATCTTATTAATAAAATATAAAAAATGTTTAAAATTTTTACGCTTTTTTATTTTTACCCTTATTAATTATATGTTTTATTGACATATAAATCAGTTGTTCACATTTTATTATATAGATTGGAATGATTTTTTTTTTTGGGCCATAGATTGGAATGAAAGTTATAGATATATGGAACGAACAAGAGTAGTGTCCAATTTTCAGTTGACTTCTAAGTGGTGCATAAATTGCTTGATTAATAAACCTGTGGGTTTAGTTGGCAACAAAAAAAAAACTTATAAGTTTATTGCACGTGATGTTTACATTAAAATGGAAAACAAAACGAGAAAGTGAAAACTAATACCAATTATTTGAACAAAATTAATATGTATTTTTTAAAAATAACTATGGTAAATAAATAATGGGGTAAGGTGCACTCTGAAATATGTTCGCAAAAACACTAGGGATTTTAAAGTAGTTCCAATTATTTAAATAAAATTAACAAATATATACTTTAAACAATTATGATAAATAAATAATGGGGTGAGGTGCATTCCCAAGAACACTTAGCACCTTAAAATAGTTTGTTGTGCAATTTCGCACTTAAAATATTTTTGGGCGTAATTTTATTTTTAAAAGATTTTTTATATGAAATTAAAAAAAAAGTTATAAACGTTGGCAAAGAAAAGGAAAAATTGTAAACGAAAATAGTAAACAATCGTCATTTTATGAGTTAAGATAAATATGATTAGTTCTTGTCATTATATTTTTTAGAAAATAATAAAAATTTGAAAATATTATTTAAGAAATCAAAGATGAATAACACACGTATTATATGAGCTGCAGAAGAATTATTATTTAAAAGAAGAAGAAAATATACTTACGGTCATTCAAATTTTCTCTTGACCAAACAAGTTTTATTTAATTTTATTCATTATTTTCATCATTAACAGTATGATATTATATCTCCTATTAAAAACAATTCTAATTAAGGCATTATCAGGCAGTATCATGTTTTTTTTTTTAGATAAAAATGTTTGATTTTCTTAATTGGATCCTATTTGTTTCCTCTGACCTGTATGCAAGCAACATTTTCGGTTAGTGCTATATAAGTAATATTTTGTATTTATTTGTAAATTTAATGCACTTTTTATATCTTTTTCTTATTGAATTTCATGTACTTTTTATCCTTTTCTCTTATCCATTCTCTCTCGTGTATTTTCTCTTTGGCTCTCTCACTCTTCATCTTATGAATAAAGTTATCTTTAAAAAAAAATTACATATCTTGTATACTTATTATGTTTAACTAATTTTAATCAATATTTTAATTTAATACATGTAGTTTAGTTAGTTATTAATTATATATATAACAGGAGGAAATATTTTTTTTTGCATTAGCATAAATGAGGAAACCAAAAATATGATTTTATAATGTTATTGTCATTTCATTTTCCCTGGTAATAAACAAATGTTACCCTAAACTAATTTTACCAAAACAAGGTGGAGGGTCTCTTTGTTTAGTTAGACTACACAATCATTGCTTATGTCAATTTCACAATCATTGCTATACCACCTTTTTTTAATCTCTTCTCCAATTGAGAAATTAATTCAAAATCATGTGGGAACTATGGGTTCACATCGCCTGCCTTCCTACTATTACTATATTATTATTGTTAACAACTAAAAGTAGTCACATGTATATTGCATGGAGTAAAACAAATATGTCACATTTTCATAATTTATAAATAATTAGAGTTTTATATTTTGTATTAATATAATTATTGATTTTGGATGAATAAACTCTCTTTCATTATATAATTTTTACATTATTCATAACTTATAAACAAGACATGTTATACATAATTTTAAGTGTTAGTGATAGTGAGAACAATTGACCATGTGATAGTCATCCCTATATAAAATGATATAAGACTAAAATAATTACATTAAAAAGGTTTGTCTCTATGAGTTCGTGGAAGGTTGACAAGAAGGACATTTTCACAAAATGAATTACCATTGTAAATTAGAGAACTCTTTTGAAAAATAGAGAAACCATGATAATATTATTTATTCAATCAAAATAACAAGACTAATTTTTTCAGCGGATGATGACTTAAATTGCAATCTGAAGAACTCTTTTGGAGTTTTATAACCTAATGAAACCAAATATTTTTCTTAAGTTTTTTTTTAAATGTGAAGTTGTAATTAAAAAAATGGTATAATATATACGTAAATTATGGTAATAAAAAAGCAAAGACTTTCCTTAATTAGCATCATCAATTTTTGGTATCAAAGAGGCAAATCTACTCATTTCATTTTTTTTCAATTGATTAATCAAAATAAACTCCGCCTATATTGTATAACCGGTCCTAGGCCCGGATAAAGGAGGAGGGTTGTGTTAGGCCCTCAACAGCCAACGTAAAAACCCGTCAAATCTCATGAACATGGATCAACGAAGTAATTAATCAGAATAAAACTTATATCAAGTTATTTATATTTATTGGGTCAAGTTCTTCAATTACACTTGTTATTTCATCATTGTAAATTTTTTTTTCCCAGCAATGCCATTGTAAATTGTTAAAATGTATGTATGCACTAGTAAATTTTACCTATGAACATTCGTCAATTTTTGTGTAACCTCTTATCATGTAAATTAAGATTTATAAATTTTTATATGTACACTTCTTATTTTATTATTATTAGTTGTTAAAATAAACATGTATACTTATGAATTTACCTATGAAATATAAATATTGTTGTTTTGTTAGTGTTAGTTATTAAAGTGTATATGTATCTATAGATTTAATTTAATATATATAAATAACTTGATTTAAGTTTTTTACCCATGAATTAAAAGCTCAAAACTTTTAAATGTTGGGATTTGCCTACATAACTAGAAAATTGAAAGAAATCCAAGTATGGCGGTGAAAGTAAATTAATGCATCGTGCTTCTCAGCGTGGTGAAAGCAAGACTAAAATTGATTGCCCTGTCCTCTGCAGTAAAATTAAAGTGCAATAAATTGAAGACGAAATTAATACCACTCTTCTATTTTTTACCATGATATTCTTTTTTCTTTTCACCCATTATTAAATTTTAAATTTGAATTTGAATTTTTCAAAAGCATTGCCATTAGTTTCGAGCGAGAGAAGACCCGCATCATACTCCAGAGTTTGATGAAATGCTAAAAGAGAATTTGTTGCTTCCCATTAACGATCCCATGCAAATATTTAAATACCACCTGTTCATAAGCGTGGTATAATAGTAGATAAATGGAAAAAAAAATTGATGAAAGAACATTCCTTGCAAACAAGTTGGGTTTGTTTGGTAGTATATGGAAAACAAGAATACTCCTCCAGTTCCTAATCTAGTACCTATTTAACTAATTTGATTAGATTAAGAAAGTTATGTAAATTAGTTAATTGTGATAAATATGACATATTTTTCTCAAAACATTTTGATCATCTTCTTTAATATTCCCCCTCTATCTCTTACTTAATTATGATTGAGGGAGTATCACTATGGATGATTTGAGAAAAATTGATAAATATGAAAAATAAATCTTTCATTTAGATCCTATATTAAAGACATGATAAGTATATTTGTCATATACATATTGGGAACAATATATATTTTTTTTAATAGAAAAACAAGATTTAAATTCTTCATATAAGTCATTTGATATTATTAGTTCAGGTAATAAACTTAGGGTAAAGTTAAAACAATTTCTTAATGCATTTTTCAATCATTCATCTTCTAAGAAATCCTTTATCACTTCTTTAACGTTGAAGAAATTATTTCAAAATAAACAAGCTCTAAACTAATAATAATTCAAATCAATTAAATTTAAAATATTCAAATGCTGGGGGAAAACAACAGATGATTCCCCAAGAGACTCTATATATGTATCTTTCCTGTCGATTAAGTCATTCCCTTTCTGGTAGTAGAAATGTTAATTTGCTTTACAAGCTAACTGATAAACACAGCAAAGGGAGAATTAAAGCAGAAACCTCAGATTTTCACTTGAAAAAGACATATTTGCTTCCTATATCTCCCTCTAGCTCAAAACACGGACATATTTTAGGTTATCTGCATCTATTCATGAGTGGCAAGACTGGAAATTTGTATAAAACAAGAAAAAGAAAAGGAAAGGAAAGTGATTTATGACAATACTACTTGTGAAGACGATTTGGACGTAAAGAAAGAAAAAGAGATTAACACGCACACATGCACTCACGCACGATCATTTTAATAGACGATTTTTTTTTTTCCGGAGCCTGATAGTGATAGAGTGTCAAACAATATTGACACAGAAAACAATCCTTGAACCATTGATTTTTGTGGGTTAAAACTTCAAAATTTAAGGGTCCTACTACTGTTCAAATCAAATCAGTCACATTATTATCCCAAAGATGCATGCACACAACCAGCTTGTTCCCAAGAATAATGCAACTTTCTTAACAAGTTTTCCTCTTCTAAGCAACTTTCATTTCCAAGATTATCTTTCTTCACCCAATTTTCAATTACCTGTCAAAGTATGTCAATAAGGTGATTTGATTAGGTTTTTAGACGTGATTGTGCTTGGGCTAATCCATAATTATACCAAAATAGATTGTTAATTATATTCCCCATGCTTGCTCTTTATTTTTTCTCTCTTTAATTTTAATTTTTTTTTTTAACGTTTTCTTCTTCTTTTTAAGTGGGGTTTTAGACAATGGATTCTTATGCCGTAAATGGGGCTTTTAAATAGTTCTTTTTCTAATGTGACTGTACGTGAATTAATTTATTAGACCAGGATAACTAAAAGCTTCTCAAATAAGGATAAGGATTACAAATTGAAAAAAACTAAGCAACTGTAATTAAGGGCATAAGCCTTTTAAAAACTAGCTAGTTTTTTCTTTCATTATTTTCTTGCTTCCTTTTCAATTTTTTTAATAGGCCTTTAAATAAAATATAAACTGAGTAGTCAGATCAAGCTCTAAATAAAAGATAACTTTTTAAAAACCTTTTTCAATATTTGATATATCTAAATTTGAGACCTTAGACACAAAGTCATTCTTAAAATGATTTTTATTTTTTAAAAAAACATCCAGGTGAGCACTAAGCGGTATTATGGCACTAGTTAAAATGAAAAGCAAGACATGATCATAAGATGTGGGAGGAGCATATATGAAGTACAGATATCTCTAAAGCAAGTGACAGAAATTAATTTAAAAAGCACAATATATAGTTTCATTGATAATGAACATTGTTAAATTATAAATATGTTAACCGACTTTGGCTAACTTCCTTTCTGTTTTTTTTTTTATCCTATATATCACATTATTTAACAAACAATAACAAAGAAAAGAATCTACAATCCAAAAGTCACAAGCTGAAACGATGCACCATTATGATCACAATGATTGCTTCATATAATATTTTCTTCTTTAAGCCATTTATACACTGTGCAGGTGTAGTGGTTCTAACTCGCTGAGATGTGACATGTGTCAGCTTTTATTTGTCAAATTGCTTTGATATCTTCATCATTATGCCCCTAATATGCTATTCAACTCATGTCTAATCCAGAAAATAATGGCAGCTGAATTTTGGAGCACTATTACATAATATGGAATCTAATTATTAAATTGATTTTATTAAAATAAAAATTTATTTCTTATATTTATTAATTTTTTAAATTATTTTTATTAATACTTCCTTAACTATAATTAAGTAAAAAAGAGAAAATATTAAAAGAGATGATTATGATGTTTCAGAAAAAATATATATCATATTTCTTTTCTTTTCTTTTTTTGGTGAAAGAGAAAGTTTAGGTGAGTTAGATACGGGAGCTCATCACGGACCAGAGGTTCAGAGGGCGCTTAAAGAGGTACTTACAGATTGCTCATCAACAAGGTCTTCACATTCGGCAACGAGATTTGAACTCATGACCTTATGAGTTATAAACCGATTCCTTACCAGCTGAACTAACTTTATTGATATATTTTTTATAATTAACTAACTTTTTTAATCTAATTAAATTAATTAAATATGTTTTACGCTCATGAGCGGAGGAGTATGATTTTCCTGTATATGGTGGGACATTTTGCCTGTCCTTCTATTTCTGAACTCTTTTTATATTCAGTTTGATAAAAAAAAATTGAAAATTCAGTACACACATAATTTAGGTTTTTTCCGGTTAAGTTACGCCAGGGAGGTTTGAATCTTTCATCCTTACTCTGTCACGCATATATCCGTATCCTCACCAGAATCAGCCTCGTACATATATATGGGTCATGGATATTTCAGCTACTTATGTGATACTCCTTCTGATCTTATATATATACTCCGGTCCTAATTATAAGACCTAGTTGACTTATTTGAGGAGATTAAAGAAGTAAGTTAAGTTAGTTATTTTAATAAATAAGTATTGTCATTCCTAAAATATCCTTGCTAATTAAGTATATTGCTAAAACTATCATTATTAGAAGGATTATCTTGGAAAAAAATACATAAATATGGAGACAAAATGGATTGGGTCTTATAATTAGGACCAAATAAAAAGTCAAATGGGGTCTTATAATAAGGACCGGAGGTAGTAAAACAGATAACTAACTTACAAAAATAAAAAAAGGTAGTTAAAAGCATATACTCTTCATAAATATGTCACAGAGTGTAGATTTTTCTTTTAAAAGATGTTCCACTGAATTTTAAATTCTTACCAAATATTTAATGGCATTCATAAAATCAATTTATATTTAAGAATGAAGGGTATTAGGAGAACTATGTAGACGTGTAGTTAGTCTTTTATATTTAGTATTAAGATAAAGAGGCTCCCTAAGTTTTCTTATATATAGAACCGGAAGAGGGAGTACTTAAAATAAAATAATTAAAGACTCAACAAATTAAAGCAAGTGTTTTTTTTTTCAGAACATAAGAATTAAGTAACCTGACCACTCCTTAAGATTATTTGAAGCTCTGTAAATGTAAATGCATGCATGCACGTATTCGTGTGAGCGAGTTTTAAATAAGGACCAGAATAATCCAAATTCAAAATACCACTGCAAGTTTTTAATGTAAGAACTGGTCAGTAACTAGATTTGGTCTTAAATATAATATTTTAATTCATTTTTTCTCAGATTTGTAATTAATTCTTTAAAATATTTCTATTGATTCATATATCAAGTGGTTCTCATTTAAAAGTAGTCATGATTAAAATTGGTATTTTAGGAAAATCAACTTATATTTGTTATAAATAATTAATTTAACTACTTTTTTTTAATTTATAAAATTAGTTAAGTACCCGTACTTCTATATTAAGAATTAGAGGCAGTATTACATATAAACAAAAACAAGTGTTTGAAAATTATGTGGTTGTCTTTTGAACTTTAGCTTCACAATTTCGCCATAAAGATTTTGATGATAAGCTTTATCTCAAAAATAGGTTTTGGTTTAAAGTATGTGTTTTATGGGCCCTTTAAAACTTATATCACAAACATGTGTAAACGATATATAGGCCCATGTAACTTATTTCTTGTTGGTGACGGCATACAGAATAAATTTATAAAATGATATTTTAGGACAATAAAATTTTGAAATGTTAATTAAGGAATTTAGTCTTCTACTGTTTTACTGATATCCATATTTACATGCAATTTTGGAAATTTTTGAAAAATTAAGACAGAAACTTGTTACAAGAAGAAGTTGAAAACTAATTATGGATCTGGTTTCGCATTGAAATCAAAATCATAGTTATGATGTTTTCCAATATTTAAGGCCAATATGTACTCACTTAAGAATCTTAAACATTTTCATTGAAAAAGTTTTTAATTTACAAAATTTCTTCATATTTATTTTTTTCCTAACATTTTCAACTCGTGTTTATTATTTGTTCAAGAATAATTTCAGATTTTAGAGCCTTAAAGTGTCCTTATTTCTTTGGACAAAACCCAAATTTAAAGATGTTGAAATAATCAAAGCTTTTATAGTGCATCTATTTTTCTATTAGAAAAAATCTTGTTGGAGACATAATGTTTTTTTATTTATTTTCTAGGCATATGTATCATCTTATTGAAGGTAATCTTATTTAAGATATTGTAAAGTAGAGGTGATAATATGAGTTAAACCTACAAACTCATCCCGCCAATTGGCAAAATGTGAGCTTGTTGATGTGGTTCTTTTCAACCTGCAGCCTGTCATGGGCTAATCCTCTTTTTTTAAAATATTTTTTATTTAAAACTTTAATAAGAAATTTTTTTATCGTTTTCACTCAGTTTAAATATAATGGCTAGAGACTTTGATTCTAAATATGAATTATATGTTTATATTTCAAGTTTTGAGATTGATATAATTATATAATTTTATGAAAATATAAAATTTAGGAAAATATAGTCTATAAAAATTTAAAATTTAATTTAAAATTTTTAATATATATATAAATGTAAAAAAATGAACAAAAAGATGGAGGTGTTCGCCTTTTGGGGTGGGTCCTTTTAGAACCGACCTGCATGAGCTCCAGCCCATCGGTTAGCCCGTAACCAATGGCCCGTTTTATCATTTTTAAACTAATCCTTTCTTGGTCTGTGAACTGTCGACTCGATTTTCTCTTGGGAAGCCCAAGTGTCCAACCATGCAGAGATAATCCACATCAAACATCGGCCCAAATTCTTCTAGCGAGAAAGGACAAAACCCAAAACAAGAAGCGAGAGCACAAGTTTGCTGCTTGCTTACGCGGAGTCACAGTTACTGTTTGACTGGAACTAGCCTGACCCCTGGAACGCGGGAAAACCCACTCGTTGCTGACAGCCTGACGCCTGAAACCCAGCAGTTCTCATGCCGGAGCTGCCGGAGGTAGAGGCGGCTAGAAGAGCCGTGGAGGATAACTGTATCGGTAAGAAGATAAAGAAGGCTATCATAGCCGACGATTCCAAAGTCATCGATGGAGTCTCCCGCTCGGAGTTCGAGGCTTCCCTCTTGGGCAAGACCATCGTTGCAGCTCGCCGTAAGGGCAAGAACATGTGGCTTGAGCTGGATTCCCCACCATTTCCTTCGTTCCAATTCGGTACATTCCTGTTCTGAACCCTAGCTCTGTGTTATCATCTTTCCTTTTATATTCATTTCTTCTTTTCTAGCGTTTCCCTATGGAATAGACTTCACGGCGGTCTGTGTGCTCTGTTTTGAAATGGGAGTGAGATAAAGAGGGTGGCTGGGCAAGGATGAATAAACTGGAGGAAGAGGGATGGTTTTAAAAATTCGGGGTATATTAGAGTCCTTAAATTTTGGGTGGGTAACCGGAATTTCAATCGATTTGCAGTGAAGACAGGGGAAAGCTTATGATGCTGATAGTTTTGTACTTTGAAGTTGTTCCCATTTTTGAGATAAAGGTGAGCTGATCAAGCTCTGAAACTGCATGGTTGGATTCCTTGAAAGAGCGATTTTGTGTCTCTGTCTCCTTATAGTTTGTCATCTGAGCGATCCTAGTTTACAAAAATCTGATAGTACTCGTCCGGCAGCTAGTTTTTTATTCTTTATGTTGGATGCTCACTCTCACGCGTAGCGTGTTTGGACATCGCCTTAGCAATATTTGTGTAATCACTGTTCTTGCCTGCCACTTATGCGGATTACTTCACGCAGGCATGTCCGGTGCTATATACATTAAAGGTGTTGCAGTTACAACGTATAAAAGGTGAGGCATGTCATATGGCCTAGTGAATTATGATAAGTTTTCAAATATATTTATATATATAGGCCACCAAGATTCTATTATATATGTGATCTTTGCTTATTAGGAGCTAGTAAAGGTTGAAAATTTGAAATAGATACCATGAATGGTTCATTTGTATTAATATAGCGGAGTTATAGAACTGCTTTGGAGTTGAATGTTACTTCAGTGCAATTATTCTGTGCATGTTAATGTTATAACTGATCATCACAATTGTTCACTTAGATCTGCTGTAAATGATGAGGATGAGTGGCCTTCCAAATATTCAAAATTTTTCGTTGAGGTAAGAGCTATTGCTTTTTTGCCCTGTTGAAATTTAGAGTGCCTTATTTATTTTGCCATTTTTTTATTTATTTTGCTTGTCGACATGTAAACAGTTCAAATTACATACTTTAATAGCTCTGGCAATATATTTAAGCCAGTAAATCTAAAACACCTGTTTTAAGCCTTTAGTTTGAAATGGACTGTGTGTTATGAATTTAGGCATAACATCTATATTCATACAGAAGATGTGAAGAAAGATTCAATTTTTCTAATTGGAAGTTGGAAGAGGTTATAGTTTTAGCTGCTATAATATGAACACAATTAAATTTTGTACTGAAGCTTTAGTTTTCCTGTCTTGATCTGCACTTTGAATTTCATACTGGTTTTCCTGTCCAACAATATCCTCATGTTATGTATGATCAATATAATGATGTGCCTTCATGGCAGGTGATGCATTCAATTTTTCTTTCTACATATTTGTATATGTTGACTTTGGAATAAAAGGCGTGATTGCATCACTTTGAGAAGTACCATAGTTTTGAACTTTTGATTGACCAGTATAAATCAGATTAAATTTTCTTGTTGCAGCTGGATGATGGCTTGGAGTTGTCCTTCACTGACAAAAGGCGGTTTGCTAGAGTTCGCCTTCTCAATGATGTTGTGCAGCCCTACCTGCTATTGCCGATAGGCATATATACTTATTCATATGTTTTTATTGGTTAGATCTAATCATTATCTCTATCAATCTTTTTTCTTGATATAGCCAACATCAGTGCCCCCCATATCTGAGCTTGGTCCTGATGCACTTTTGGAGCCTATGACACTTGAAGAATTGACTGAGTCTTTGCAAAAGAAAAAAACTGAAATCAAGGCTTTATTACTGGATCAAGTATTAACTTCTTATCCTTACTCTTCCTGATTCTGAGATTATAATTTTTTAAAATTACTCTTATGATACAAAGTATACTTAGGTCAGTATCTTTCATTTTTCTGTCTTTGTTGTCTGAACTCAAATAGGATGTTCTGTTTAGACAATGCTTTAGTCTTCAAACTGGAGCTTGAATAGATTAGGATCTTCTTGAAGAGGGTAGTGAGAAATAAGGTGCATGCTGAAAAAGATGGTATTCTTTAAGGGGTGCACGCATGTGTGCATTCATATGAAAGAAGAAATAACATTAAGAGAGATAAATGATTGAAATGAAAAGGGTGGGACCGAGAAAATGGAAGGCAAATGATAAACATGCAGCAAAGCTTTGAAATCCCTTTGCTTTCCTGAAAGAGACACTCCCTTGGTCAAGCCCTTAGTCAAACACCACAAAGAAAGATCAAACAAAATCACAGGGAAACAGCCTTAAAATATGAGCACTCAGGTCCAACAAAATATTCCACATTACCGCATAAACTGCATATCACTACGAAGCTTTAGCTTGCTTTGGTTTCTTGATCCTAAATGTTTGAACCTTACAAAAGAAACTGCGCCAAATCCTGTGGACGTTCTCCATCATGATACTTCTGAACTACTTATTCCACGAGGAAGCTGCCACTAAGCAGTGTAGAAACAAGTGAACTTAGTTTCTGCACTATTCATGCACGTAGTACAAATGTTGTGAGGTGGATTACTTGTTATCAGATTATGCTAATTGGCTGAGTATAGCCCCTTTGAATTTCAGTCCCTTTATGCCTAATGTCTGTTGGATATAATTTTTCTTTTGGTTTGCAGTGTTTGGAAAATTTTGTAGACTCTAATTTGAATTTATATATTTTATAGCATTTTATGGTATGTGTTTCTTAATATATTGACTTTCCTATCTCTGCAGAGTTTTATATCAGGTATTGGAAATTGGGTTGCAGATGAAGTTCTGTACCAAGTCAGTATTGACTTTCATTTTCCCCCAGTTCTCTCCTTGTTTTCCGCTTATGTGCGAAATTGAAGATATGGCATTTGATTTGTGGCTGGAGACTTTATATGGTTTATGAAGTTTTATTGTTTTATATGCATCTGAACTTAGTCTGATTAATAATTTCGTGATGCATTGAGTAAGGAATATTCATTTGCCATTTATTGGATGTTAGCCTACTGCCATATCTTTTGATCGTGTTTTTACTTGCTGCTCTTCAGCTCTTGTTAACTCCTTTAATTGTATTTGTGTTGATATGGCCATACTTCTTTGTTTTACTTGCAGAAGATCATTTTAATTAGGTTTCTTTTGGCAATGATTATTATTTTTTGCTTCATCATTGATCGTAATGACTTTCAAAATGCCTATATTTCCAGGCTAAGATTCATCCGAGGCAGACAGCTTCTAGCCTGTCCAAAGAAAACTGCTCAGCTTTGCACAAGTGCATCAAAGAGGTGGGAAATTCTTGTTTATTGAGAAGTCATTTTAATCTAAGCACTCCTTTTTAAATTCAAATTGAATTTGTGTATTTCATAAAAAATATAGAGGACTAAAATCTGTAGGTGATTCAATATGCGGTTGAACTTGATGCTGATTCTTGCCGTTTTCCCCTTGAATGGTTATTTCATTTTCGGTGGGGCAAAAAGCCTGGAGAAATAAATGGTGAGGAATACTTTCTTATATCTGTTAGTTACCAAAAAAAATTCATTTTACAGGTCATTGAGAAAGCAGTTGAAGTTGGAGCTGATAGTAGCCAGTATCCTGCTGGTTGGATATTTCATTCTCGTGAAAAGAAGCCGGGCAAGGCTTTTGTGGATGGTTTGCTTCCTTCCTTTGTGTGATAACCGTTCTTAATTTATATTTCCATCATCCAGTTATGGGATGGTTTCTGTCACGCCGGTTAAGCTGCAGAATTGATTTAAGAGAAAAATATATTTTTATCCATTCTTTTTTACTTTTTCTTCTTGATATGTCGGGAGATTTTTTTCCGTTTTGCCTGTTGATTGCACACTATCATTTATACTGCTACCGTTCATATTTTCTAAACAACAATTGTGGAATTTCATGTAATTGCAGGGAAAAAAATTGACTTTATTACAGCAGGAGGCAGGGTAGGCCATTCTGATGATTGCTCTTAATTGTTTCTTACATCTTTTTTATGTGCTCATGTTGATCTGATTGAGCCATTGCTTTCAGACGACTGCTTACGTCCCGGAGTTGCAAAAGCTAAGTGGGTCACAGGATGTAAAAGAGGCCGGCAAACCTAAAAGGCGAACTTCAAAGAAAAACAAAGGTGAAGATGATGATAATGACGATGACACTGAGAAACCTGCAAAAGAAGAGAAGAACGCGGGAAGTCAGAAATCAAAAAAGGGAACAAAGGGTGGTGGTAAAGGTAGGAATCAGTCCAAAAAGAATAAATCAAAGGAAAGTGATGACGAAGATGATGACAATGATGATGAAAATGATGATAACGGTGAGACTGATGCTGCTGCTGATGACGATGATGATGAAGCTGGAAAGAAGAAAGCAAACCCGTTGACAAAAAGTAAACAGGCCAAGGGAGAGAAGAAATCAAACAAAAGAGCTCCTGCTAGTCAAAATAGTAAGAATGCTAAAAGGAAGGTTAAGTAGTAAGCATGCTTTTGTTTTGCCGTCTGCCATAAAAATGCTGTGGAACAATGGAAGGATGGATTATGCTGTTCCTGTAACTAACTGGCTATTATTTCTGTCTTCATATGATCAGCAGACCGACGCTGCTTCTGCCGATCATGACTGCTATTAGTGTTTTGTCTTAATGTTATTAGATCAATGGAAGGGGAGGATGCCTTCCGTTTTTGTAACTTCTGTTAATGTAAATGTTAATTACTTTGTTAATCCTCCGTTTGTGGGTTGAAATTGTAAGTCCCAGTTTTAGAAGCGGTAATGCTATCCTTGTGTTTTAGAAAATGTTTGGTATGTATGTGGGTTCGTCTTAGGTGCTCATCATCCAAAATTAAAGTTTTTAATCTATAGTTTTTAAATAATGAATTAATCTTATTTGAGAATATAATAGTTGAGAAATTATCTATATTTTTAAGTTGATATGAATATCATGGATTCTCGTGGCTTAAGTAAGTGACTGAGATTCAATTCTCAAATCTTACCGATGGAGCAAACCTAATTAAGAGCGACTTGCCTTTTGATTTCTGTCCCTCAAAAGATTAGTTCTTGCTAATTTATCTCATAAAAAACTGCTGATCGTCTGATCCTGTGTATATATTTGTCATGTAAAAGTATGAATTAGATAACTAATTTATAAATATTAAAAAATTAATTAATTTAGTTATTTATAATAAATTTGTTTTAGTTTTCTTAGAATATTCTTTCCAATCATCATAAGCGTTCTAGGAATCTATTAATAAAAATTCCTTATCATGAATAATTTTTGGAATACAAAATAGATTGAAATCTTACATTTAATTTTAAAACAAATCTTTTTGTCTAGTTTTTATATTTGGGATTAGAGGCTATATAAAGTGGATAATTTACTCATTATAATATTCAAAAGGAACACCAAGCACCACAATAAAATATTGGGTGCAAAAATACCTGTCATGATTCAAAAATAATCCTAAAGTGCTATTTCTGTTAAATGTATCAAACGACTGTTTGTTTTAAGTTTGGAGGGTCCCATTATATTATCCACTTGTGTCCCCTATTCTAGTTATTTTTCTCAATATCGGTTAATGGCAGTTAGTCTTTCTCAGAAACACTCACTATAGTCGTCCTTGCCGCTTTAACCCATGAATCGTGAATTATCTGTCATAAATTTACAGAAACAACCAATCTATCCAAAAATTTTACTTGGAAATTTAGAGAGAGCAAGAGAGGGAACAAACATGAGTGAAAGAAGAGGAATTGACCGGGAGGAGTAAGATCTCATCCATCTTAGGCCTGAACATAGAGATTTGAAGATTGGAAGATGAGAAAGCAGACCTACCATCACAAGCGGAAAACTCATTGTAGTCGTTTTTGCCGCTTTAACTCATGAAAAAGTTTATAAACATAAATTTCAGTGAGTATCTCAGCACAAATAAAATCTAAATATCCATTTAATTTAAGAACAAAAATGACAATCTAAAACTAAAATGTCTTACAAAATACAACTCAAAATTATTTAGAACGAAATAATTTCAAGTCTTTGAACTAAAAAGATAAATAAAACATCATTTTCTTGTAGTTTTCAAGTGTTGACCTAAAGCTCAAGCCTCTTCTATGCTCCTATCATGTTGTCTCCCAAAAAGCTTAAACTTTCATGGTATTATCTCATCCTTCCGAGCTGTTGGTAATCACGGTCATAGTTAATGAAGCATGTGAGAATGGAATGATGAATTTATGTGGCTAGTGGAATGGAGGAGTTCGTGGTGACGACTAATGGGCTTTTGTGCGTGGAGTGAGAAGGGAGAGGACGTGAATTGATGATGGTGAAAGAGGATGTTGTTTGGTGACTATGGAATGAAGGGAATATGAGATAAGGCGTCTCTCTCTGCGTATGATGGCCAGGGTAAATTTTAACAGGAGAAAAGAGATTTTTTTTATTCAAAGTTTAAATCTGTTAACAATTAATTGACCTGCTTAGTATTAACTATTGGATTGTGTTCGAATTTCAAAAGATAATTTTACATTATTAGATTTCTTATATGCTCTATTTTGATTTACAAGAACTTAAGTACATTTATTAATATACATTATATTTAAATATAATGTAATCTATATCAAAATTAAATATTAGTTATGCATAAAAATAAGGTAAGAAATTGCAAAAATTTCAAAGATCAATCTTTCTAAAAATATGAGATGTGTTTTCAAAGAAATAGGAAATGTCAATTTCAAGCCAAAAATAGAAAATGACAAAATATTCATATTTTCAATCCAAAATCTCAATTTCTATGAAAAATCCAGAAATCAATTAATTAATTTAATACTCCTCAAGTCCTTAATATAATATCTATTTAATTAATTTGATTAGATTAAAAAAATTAGATAAATTAGTCAATGATAAGAAATATGATATATTTTTTCTAAAACACCATAATGATATTTCCTGATATTCTTCTTCTCTCACTTACTTGATTATAAGAAGTATTTATAAAGGTAATTTAAAAAAATTAATAAATATCAAAAATATGTCCTATATTTGAAACTAAAATTAACTTAACAATTAAGTCTTATATTAAAAACTGGAGAGGTAATACATAAAAATTCATTTAAACTCAAAATATTATTTAAATTCTAAATTAATGTGAAATAAAATATATAACAATTCAGCTGGCGGCGATAACGGCGACGCTTCTTCTCCAAACTCTCTGCACGGTTTATCTCAACCAAACTTTGTCGAGTCCGGCCTCCCACCCTCATTTTTTATTTTGCTAGATGTAGTTCTAGATCTTTGCAGGTGTCTGGGTTTGTTGCTTGGTGGGATGGATTGAACATTCGCTGGATACTCGTCCCCCCATGCTTGATTTGTCGTAGGCAAAGATGAAGACTTTAGAGAGGATTTCAGATCTGCCGTGGAGGTTGAGTTCTTTGAAAGGAGATGAAGAAGATCTGAAATGTTGCCAGTGGTGATTTCTTCTTGATCTTCATAGGTCTGAAATCTTGGTGAAAAATCTGCATAGGGTGAGTTTTCACGAAGGGGAAGGTTCTGGTTCTGGGAATTTTTATTTTTTTAATTAGAAGGATAGTTTGGTCTTTGTACGTAAAAATTAAGTCTCATTTACATGACATTCCGAACACACTTTTAAACCTCATTTCCATATCCTGATATCCATATCCATGTCTGTTTGCATTTCCATACCCATCAAAATCAATTCCAGCATGCCAAACGGGTCCTGAATTTCATTGGAGTAATTATCTTGTTAGAAATTTTTTTGAATATAGCAACAAGATGCAATATGAATGATGATAGATTGTTTTATGTATTCGAGAGGTTAGGTATCTAAAATATGATAGCACACTAGATGAGCAGTTATTTATGTCGTGAAATTTTATGTTGATCAGCTTAGTATCTCTATATTTTCTATTTAATTATGTGTGCCATATTGTTATTGTTTGATAGTGCTCTAGATGGAAGATGCCTCCATCTGCCATGAGCAAGTGCCAGATAGTGAATGCATTGAGGATCAGAAAGAATGTGGTGTAATAGCTGAATTAGATGGTCAGAATGGTTTTTCTGAAGGAAGAAAGGAATTTGTGGCACCTGCTGTTGGGATGGAGTTTGAGTCCTATGATGACGCCTACAATTATTATATCTGCTACGCCAAGGAGGTGGGATTTCGTGTAAGGGTGAAAAATTCATGGTTCAAGCGGAATAGCAGGGAAAAGTATGGTGCAGTTCTATGCTGTAGTAGTCAGGGTTTTAAAAGAATAAAAGATGTCAACCATTTAAGAAAGGAAACAAGAACTGGTTGCCCTGCAATGATAAGGATGAGGCTAGTGGACTCGCAGAGATGGAGGATACTTGAGGTTACACTTGAACATAACCACCTTTTAGGTGCTAAGTTATACAGATCAATTAAGAAGATGGGAACTGGAACCAAATGGAAACCCCCGCCTGGTTCTGATAATGAAGTGCGAACAATCAAGTTATATAGGGCACTTGTGATAGATGCAGGTGGTGATGTTAATGCAAACTCAAGTACCAGAGCATTCAGGACTTCTTTGGAATCGTCCTCTAAGTTGAGCCTTAAAAAAGGTGACACGCAGGCCATTTATAACTACTTTTGTCGCATGCAACTGACCAATCCAAATTTCTTTTACTTGATGGATTTTAATGAGGAAGGACTGTTGAGAAATGTATTTTGGGCTGATGCTAGGTCTAGGGCTTCCTGTGGCTATTTTGGTGATGTTATTTATTTTGACAACTCGTATTTGTCAAACAAATATGAAATCCCTCTTGTGGCATTTGTTGGAATTAATCACCATGGTCAATCAGTGTTACTGGGTTGCGGTCTACTCGCTGGTGAAACATTAGAATCATACATATGGTTATTCAGAACATGGGCTACGTGCATGCCAGGATCTCTTCCCCAAACTGTCATCACTGATAGGTGCAAGGCTTTGCAGAGTGCTATTGCAGAAGTTTTTCCTAGGACACGTCATTGTTTTGGCTTGTCACTAATCATGAAAAGAGTACCGGAGAAGTTAGGAGGGTTGCGTAATTATGATGCAATCAGGAAAGCCTTGAGTAAAGCTGTTTATGAGACGATGAAAGTAATTGAATTTGAAGCAGCTTGGGGATTTATGATTCAGCGATTTGGAATTTGTGATCATGAGTGGCTTCGTTCTATCTATGAAGACCGAGTTCATTGGGCTCCAGTATTCTTGAAGGACACATTTTTTGCTGGAATGTCTGCAGCAAGTCCTGGTGAGACCTTGAGTCCTTTTTTTGAGAAATATGTGCACAAACAGACTCCTTTGAAGGAGTTTCTTGACAAGTATGAATTAGCTCTTCATAAGAAGCACAAGGAAGAATCTGCTGCTGACATTGACTCTAGAAGCTCTACTCCCTTGCTGAAAACAAGATGTTCCTTTGAATTGCAGCTATCCAGAATATACACACGAGAAATATTCATGAAGTTCCAATACGAAGTTGAAGAAATGTACTCTTGTTTTAGTACCACACAGTTACATGTGGATGGTCCGATTATAATTTTTTTAGTCAAGGATCGTGTTTTAAGTGAAGGAAATAGAAGGGAGATCAAGGACTTTGAAGTCTTGTACAACAGGACAGCCAGCGAAGTTCGCTGCATCTGTAGCTGCTTTAACTTCAATGGGTATTTATGTAGGCATGCACTGTGTGTGCTCAATTTTAATGGGGTGGAGGAGATACCTTCCAGATACATACTTTCCAGATGGAAAAAAGATTATAAGCGCCTGCATGTTCCTGATCGCAACTCTGGTATTGTCGATGAGACTGACCGCATTCAATGGTTTAATCAGTTATTTAGAAGCTCCTTGCAAGTTGTCGAGGAAGGGGCAATTTCTCTAGACCACTATAATGTAGCTTTGCATGCTTTTCAGGAATCATTGAGTAGGATACATGATGTAGAACAGAGACAGGAGTAATCTTCAAAATGTAACATACTAGATAAATGAACCATGTTCGTGCCCGGTACGTTTGTATATTTCCTTGCCTGCTTTTGCCGAGCACTATCTAGGTTGTTGTAGAATGTCCATAAAATGTATATATTAAGAGATTTTGGGTCAACACTTGTTTCTGTATCTTATCATTATTCAGTCATTGATCAATGAAATCTCCTGATGGTGTCCTGCTTGTCCCCGATATTGGACGCGCGCACGCGCAGAGAGAGAGAGAGAAGACAAATGAAATCTTCTTAGCATTTTGCGGAGCCCTATCTTTGCGTAACAGCATCAAAAGGCTCTCCCTTAAGAATCCTCTGCAGATGCTAGAAAATGGCAAAAGAACAACAAAATAATTTTTATACCAAAAGAAGGGGATGAAAGGGGTAAGAGCAATGAACGTCAGAATTAATTTGACAGCGAATTTAGACATGTTGAGAATGTAAATAAGGATACAATAGAGAGAAAAGTTCGAAATATTAGAGATTTTGCGTTTTCAAAAAATACTGACATGTTGAATCTCAGCTGTACTCCCCAAAACCAACTTGTGACGATTGCATTTCCTTAGTATTCAAAGGACCAGCATTTCTCGCCTAAAAATCTGACAATCGTAACAAAGAAACAGGATCTGAAATGGGAGAGTAGAAAGAAGCAAAGAAACGAAGGAAATGATCATATAGGAGACGAGATGAGGCAAGGAAAGAAAGGAGGAATGTAGTTGTAGGAAAGAGGTGGAAGCAGGAAACAAATTAATTTCAATATGAACATTTAACAAATTACAACAGGATGCTATTGTCAATATCAATCAATAGTCAATAGCTCCTCCCAATTTACAAATATTACCTCATATTCTTAATATAAAAGCTAGTTTAATTTTTAATTTGGTCCTGTAAGGCCTCAGTCTACTTGTCTCTTAAATATATATTAATTTCTTTGAAATATCCCTATTGATTGTAAAAAATCCCCACTAATAAATAGTTTTACTGCACATGATTAAAGAAGATAGTTTAGAAAAATTAACATATATTTGTTATGATTAACTTACTTAACTAACTTCTTTAATCTCTTCAACTTAGTTATTTGAAGTAATAGTAAATAGTATAACTCAGTTATCTTATTCTGGATACATAGACATGCATACAGGCATGGGTGTTTAGTTGCATGTATAACAAAAAGAAAAATCTCTCCCCTCTCAGCTCACTGGAGTTGACTGCGCAAATGAGGAATTAATCAACTTGAGGGATCATTTTTTCCCTTAGACCAGGAGAATGTACTAGATCCATGGCTTTACAAGACGCATAAAAATCTTTCAGGCGCGTCATTGAAACCATGAATACAATAGACTTCTGGGTACAGAAATAATTTAGTGGTCAATACGAAGTTAAGATAGGATTGATTCTATACTATAAACAAGTAATTGCCATGAACCACAGTATCAATAGCTAAAAGCTACTTGAGGGTCCAGCCCAACCCTTAAACCTAAATCTAAAATCCCATTTCCACAAGTGCATTCGAAACATCTATAGGTAGTGATTCATACTGGAACCAATCCTTGGCACAAATAAGAGCCTCAAGCGTCATAGAGCTTAATGAGCTCCGGGAGCAATTCATATTTCTAAGTTTTGTGTCAAAAACAGAATCTGCGGAGAGTGTGGAGACAGGTATCGACAAAATATCAGATGCCATTGTAGACAAAGTTGGATACTTCAATCTGTTTAGTCTCCACCAACTCAATATGTCAAATTCTTCTGCGCTGGGCAGCAGAGGATCTTCAAGATACTGTTCCAATTCTGACTTCATTTGTTGATTACATGTAAAATCAGATATATAAATGTCAAAATCTGACAGCCCATCTTCGGCAACAAGAAGAGATTCATCAAAAGACTGGTCTTGACATGAATCAGTCCTGATCACATCTTCATTTCCTTCATCCCCATTTGAAGCTGTAAAAGGAAGCATTTGTACAATATATTCAAGGAAGAGCTCACGAAGACCATCCTCAACAATTCTAATCCATGGCTCAGAATTCTCACCAAAGATTTTAGTAAAGGTAAATTCCACTAGCTCTAGTTTGTACCTTGGGTCCATGGCTACAGCAACTGCCAAGATGAGGCAGCTCTCTCTCCAATACTGATCAAACTTCTCTTGCAGAGGCTTAATCAAATCACTGAGGAAGGGATCCTGGCTGACGGCTGCATGAGTCAAATCCAACTGAAGTTTTGCCACTTCATGGAAAAATAAGTTAGCAGTTGGGAAAGGTAGGGTAGTTAAAATATTGGCTGCATCAAACAAATACTTCAAATATGTGCAGAGAGTTTCTATTTGCTTCCATTCACCCATTGACAGAATCATTCTGAAATCAGGATCTGAAGTATCAAAGCAAGCAAAGACTTCCTTTAATTCACAGGCAGCAACAAGCATATGGTAAGTTGTGTCCCATTTAGTTTTGTCATCAATTATAAGGTCCTTCATACTGGGGACTTGAAGTTGTTGTTTCAGTTCAAGAAACTTCTCTTCATGAGACTCTGAAGTTTTTACATATTTCACACACTCGCGAACTTTACCAATGGTTTCTCTCATGGCCCATAGTGCATGTAGTGCAAGGCGACTAAGCACACGAGCATAACAATTACAGCTCAATAACTGGCCATTGAGGATCACAGGGTTCTTCACAGAAAGGAGACCTCTAAGACTTCCAATTAAAGTCTCATTTGAGAAGGATTGATCAAGAGCAAGAGTAAATAGCCGTCCTTCCAAGTGCCAATCAGTTAGGCAATTCAAAATAGATTGACTAACGGAATCATCAGAATCAGGGAATGGTGCCATAATAACACTGAGAATTGGTCGATGTAAATTCCAGTCAGCATCTATGAAGTGCCCTCGAAGAAAAATGTAACCAGCTGTCTGGCTTGAAGTCCATAAGTCTATGGTCAGGTTGACTCGTCCAGGAATCCCATCAATAAGATTTAAAAGATTTTTCTTCTCTCTCAGGTAGATACCAACACAATCTTCTTGAACAGAATTTGAGCTTGGTACATTGAACTGAGGTTGAAGACTATGTACAAAGTCAATGAAACCACGGTGTTCCACAATATGAAGAGGATAATCATGCAAGATTATCATTTTAGTAATATCACGGTTGCTTCTGTCCTGATCAAGTGACATACCAGCAAACCCAGTTGTTTCTCTAGCACGTTTTCTTGGCAGGTCAACTATATCTCCAGAACCACCAGTCGTGGGATATAGGCTTTGCGGATTGTTCTGGCGACTTACTGGACAAATTCCCAAGGAAATATGCCGCTTTAAATGGCTTGTGCCAGCTACTTTAGACCCAGTTATGTAAGCAAATGATTTTTTGCACTGTTTACAGTAAGCTCTGGTACATCCAGCTCCAACATTTTCTACAGTGAAGTGTTCCCACACCATAGATTTCTTTCTCTGACGCTTACCTGGCTGTGTTTCTGGATCAGCTTGCTCATTATCATCAACTGGCGTTAGAGCAGTGTCAATCTCCATGAGAGCAGGTATGTTCCTTCAAGAAGGAAATGTTAAGAAAGCATCAATAGGTGGTTTAGCAAAACAAGCTAATTAAAGAAATTAACTATAAGTGTCCTAACGGCGTTCAAAATCAGAAAATAAAAATTCATTATAATTTCTGATTGAAGCAAATCACATCCAAAACATAAGGTTCTAGTTACTCGAGATTAGAGATATTTCTTACAGAAATTTGTGGAGATGATCTGACAGAAAACCTTTAGACAGTTCAATTTCTAATTGAAGCAAATTACATCCCAAGACACAAGGACCTAGCTACTCATGATTAGAGATCTTTCTTCAGGAAATTTGTGGAGATAACAAAACTGAGAATCTTTGGGCACAGTTCAATACTTGAATTGTTTCATCAGTATCCAGGTCAATGATTTAACAACTTGGATTTTAAGGGAATATAAGTACACTATAGAATTACAGCAACTCACACAGCATAATAGTAGCTGTATAAACAAGAACTAGGGGATCATAGAAAAAAGAAATTACAGGAGGAAGGCCCCTCATTCTTGTTTAAGCCCTACAAATTGAAACAGCCGATCTTTCATGAAAGATAAGTAAAAACAGGAGTGAGGAATCTGGAAGGGGGGAAATATGGATAGCCACTAGTTGGTTGCTTACAACCTTGCATGTTGTTTAGCAGTTCTATGGCAAGGTAAAACAAATTAAAACTCAATAATATTTGCACCCTTGTTGAAGCCCTACAATCTATCAAATCAGTTTAATCACTTAGATGAGGTCCGTTGTTTCCTTTTCTAGAATTTAAACCATTAAAAGGAAACTTTCTATTCATGAATATGGTAAAAAATCGAACAATATTTATGAAAACTCACTGTATCCAATTGAATCTCACAATGGATAGCCACAACTGATTCTTGTGAAACTTAAGAAACGAGGTTCTTTCCATTTAAAAGCTTATTTTTAAGAATGGAACCTCATGCTTGTTTAATTCTCCATTGTTTAGTACCAAAAAATAGATCCACCTCTGTGAAAGGCCCTAAAAGCCAATTTTGAAGAATGAGCTCCCTATACTTGCTAAGGTCTACATCAATATCTTATTGTATCATGGGCCAAAATGGACTATCCAGTCTCCACCTTCCTTCTATATTGCTTCTTCACGAAACATAAAAATATCAATCATATCATTTCGTTAAAAAGCAGGATACTTGGTACCGTGGTTAAGAATAGAAAATATTATATTATGAACAAAAAGTGGTTCATAACTTTTCTGCAAAAATTTACAGGTTCGCAAATTATTCACATCAATAAGATAAAATACTTATGCATACATCTTTATGCTGAAAATCTTCCTTTCACCAATTTTCCTCCCCTCAACTTGCAACACCTTCAATTTTTGAGTCCTCACTCAGTCAGCAATTCATCATACTAAATAAAGAAAACAAATCTGAACTACGCAGGCAAGGTCCTAAAATTGTTTATATAAAAGTACAAATCTGAACTACCCATGGGTCATATATCAACATTTTATTATTGGCTGTTTTTTCCTTTGATAAAATTTTACTGGATATGAAATCTTTTCTATGTATTGAGGTGCCTGTTAGAGCCAAATGGTAGTAAGAGTCCAGCTCCTTCATGGAGCTGCATCTATATTTGACACTTGTCACAGAAGTTGTGAGACCTCAAAGG